TGACGTTGCGGGCCTTGCCCCGTGGGAATTTCAAGGGGAAGATGGAGAGGCGCCAATAGAACCTGTCTCCTCCTGCCCCCATCCTTTCCTGTCCTTCAGACCCACAAACTCCCCCTGGAGGGCAGCGCCAGGGCCCAGAACCAACTCTTGAGTGGCTCAGGTGTGCGTGGGGGCTCGCACCTCTGGGTTGGGGGCAAGAAACACTGGCGAGGGGACACTCTTGAGGCCGAGAGGTTCAGGTGGGCGGAGGGTCCGCAGAACCCGACCCTCAGACGCCCCCATTCTCCCGGGTCACTCTTCTGTGCCCCTGTGAGACCCTTCCGGCTCCTCTGTAGCCCCCTGAGTCTCGAACAGGGGGGACCTGTGCGCATGCCCAGTGAATGCAAGGGATGTTGTGTCCTGGAGCCCCAACAACATGTGTGCAATTCCACTGTGTGTGAGATGGAGCACGGAGCTTGTGCGTGCTGGGACGCAGAAGGGAGGCAGGGAGAGAAGCTCCAAGGACTCCAAAGACAGACCTGCGGCCACGGCACCCCTCTTGTGCCTCAGTTTCCCCATCTGTAAATGGGAGCGGCGCCCATCCACACTGGTTCCAAGGGTTGGAGGCTGTGCCCCTGCCTGGACTCCTCCAGCTGAGGCCCTGCCCCTCCCTAGCAGGCCAGGCTGGAGGCTGATGGAGCAAAGCCCACGGCAGAGCCGGGGAGTCTGGGCCACAGATCCCAGGAGCCGATATGGGCCCTTATCCTTGGCATCAGCCCGGCAAATGAGTTAATGGCTGATTCCAGGAGCAAATTACAGAGCAGGCAGGAGGGGAGTCAGGGCCAGTCTTGCTGACCAGTATGGCTGGCGTCACCTGCCATGCTGGGAGCGGGCGGGAGGGCCCAGGCAGCTGCCATCCCTGAGGCAGGAGTGAAATCAGCTCTGCCAGTTGCAGGGGGCTCCTGGTCCTGGACTCCCACGCTCCAGTCTCCTCCTGCAGGAGGGCGTGCACCTAGCTGGAAGTTCTGCATGGGGGTGGGGGTGGGAGTGCCGTGCGGCAGGTACGCTGTCATCACAGCCCCTGGCGTTCTGGCCAAGGACCAGTGATTGCTGCCCAAGATGGCTGCATGGATGTTTGGGGGGCTGTCCCCTCCCCAGCTCCCACAGTGAGGCCTGACTCGGCCACCAAAGAGGGCTCCCCTTGGCCTTCCTCCCCCGGGGGAGGGAAACCCCGGCCTTCAAGCCCCCAGTCAGAGCCCACGGCGGGGTGGGGGTGGGGGGTGCCCTGGGGGAGCGGGAGGTGGGGTAAGAGTAGAGAGTGCGTCTCACAAGCCCACGTGCCTCCCCCACTTCTGCTCTGACTGCGGGTGAGTCACAGGGCAGGATGTCTGTTCCCTCGCCGCTGCCACCTCCGCAGGGACCCCTGTTTGTCAGAGCTGGGCAGAGAGGAGGGGTCTCGGGGCAGACTGGTGCTCCAAGGTCGCAGGCCTGGAGGGAGGGCCCTGCTCCTTGTCGCCCTGGGGAGGGGTGCCATCCCTGCAGCTCTTTCTGCTCGGGTTCTGGTCTTTGCCTGGCCTGGCTGTTACAGCGCAGGCTCCGTCACGGAAGTTTGGGGCTCAGCATTTTTGCCTTAATTAAAAACCTGTGCGACTCCACTGGGACAAATAATGATTCTCTGTGTTATTCTTTTTTGTAACCATCTATTTTGACGGCTGCCTGAGCGTCACTGGGATCCCCAGTCTTCCCCACTCTCAGCGCCACGTCTACCCAACCCTCACACAGACAGGGTTTTCCCTTCCACACTCAGGATCTCGGGGCTGAGATGGGTGCCGTTTCCCTTCTTCCTTCTTCCCAGCCCACGCCCCGAGCAAATGTCCAGTGAGGGTTGGCCGGCGCCGCGGCTCACTAGGCTAATCCTCCGCCTGTGGCGCCAGTACCCCGGGTTCTAGTCCCAGTCGGGGCGCCGGATTCTGTCCCGTTGCTCCTCTTCCAGTCCAGCTCTCTGCTGTGGCCCGGGAGTGCAGTGGAGGATGGCCCAAGTCCTTGGGCCCTGCACCCACATGGGAAACCAGGAGGAAGCACCTGGCTCCTGGCTTCGGATCGGCGTAGCGCGCTGGTCATAGCAACCATTTGGGGGGGTGAACCAACTGAAAAAGAAAGACCTTTCTCTCTGTCTCTCTCACTGTATAACTTTGCCTGTCAAAAAAAAAAAAAAAATGTCCAGTGAGGGAGGGAGACAGGAGTCTTGGCTCCAATGCTCGGGGCACAGTGGGTATAGAGGTGACAGCGAGGGGCCACCCCTGGCCCTGCCTGAGGAGTGCTCGGGTAACACCGTGTTTCCTGTGCCAGGCCTCTGACAAGGACTCCCGTGTGCTGGCTGCCCCTACCAGGGATCCCACCAGGCGCGGGTCCAGACCCCAGGCCCCAGGCTTCAGTGACAGCTCCTCTGTGATGACAGCCCTGTCTGGCACCGTGGGGAGTGGGACAGAGAGGGTCAGCGTGGGCATCCGGGCTCAGCACAGCCTCGTCCTGAGAAAGCAGAAGCAGGACTGGCTCAGCAGGGGGACCCCCATGGCAGAAGAGCCTGGTTCTATCCCATACAAGAAAAGATTTGTTTAAAACAGTTATTTATTTGTTTGAAAGGCAGAGTTACAGAGAGGCAGAGAGAGAGGTGCTCCATCCGCTGGTTCACTTCCCAGTTAGCTGCAATGGTCTGAGCTTTGCTGACCCGAAGCCAGGAACCAGGAGCTTCTTCTGGGTCTCTCATGCAGGTGTAGGGGCCCAAGGACTTGGGCCATCTTCTACTGCTTTCCCAGGCCACAGCAGAGAGCTGGATGAGAAGTGAAGCAGTCAGGACTTGAACCGGTGTCCATGTGGGATGCCGGCCCCTGAGTTAGTCTTTTTTTAAAAAAAGTTATCAACTTAAAAATTAGCCTGAATGCATTTCTTTGAATTTTGAGTCCTGCTTGAGGTTGCCTTGGCAGGGCCAGACCCAGTGATTTCTCTGGTCTTACACAGCCCGTGGGCCAGAGGGTCCCCATCCCTGATAGAGTAATGATACCTTTTCCTACTCAAAAATAAACTTTAGGGGGCAAGCATTTGGCATAGCTGTTAAGACATCCCCTGGAGTGCTCACTTCCCATATCAGAGTGCCTGGATATGAGGTCTTCCATCCACTGGTTCACTCCCCAGATGGCCGCAATGGCCCGAACTGTGCCAATCTGAAGCCAGGAGCCAGGAGCTTCTTCCGGGTCTCCCACGTGGGTGCAGGGGCCCAAGGACTTGGGCCATCTTCTACTGCTTTCCCAGGCCATAGCAAATCCCAGCTCCACTTCTGATTTGAGCTTCCTGATGGTGACACCCTGGGAGTCAGCAGGTAATGGCTCAAGTCCTTGGGTCCCTGCCACCCACGTGGGAGACCAGATTGAGTTCTGGGCTCCTGGCTTTGGCCTGGCCCAGGCCCCGTTGTTGTGGGCATGTGGGGAGTGAACTGTGGATTGGAGATGGCGTTCCCTCACTCTCTCTTTCAGATAATTTACAAGTGATTGAATTCAGAAAAGAAGTTTAAAACATACTGTGATGTGACATGAATTTAATTAATTTAAGTAAATGAATAATGCACTTGAGGTGTGTAAAAACTGTGTTGACTTAAGATGACCCTAACAGTCAAACCACAGCACAGAGGGTACCCAGATCTCTTGAAAAGTGGGGTGCAGGTGGGAGGCCCCAGAGGCAGGGCAGCACAGCCCCTTCCAGCTCTGGTGCCGAGGGGATCTGGGCGGTCCGCTTCTCCCTCCTGCCACAGAGAGAAGAACATGAGACACTGATGGAAGGGAATGTGGGAAAACAGATCGTGTGGCCCGGGCCAGAGCCCACGCGGCTGGCCCAGGTCCCCTCTGCCCTGTGGACATGCCCATCAAAGCTGCAGCCCAGATGTGCCCAGGCGTGGGGCTGCGGGACACCTGCCTCCCTGGGCTTTTCCCCCAACACTCCCGAGGCCCCAACCCCTGGGGGTCCTCAGAGTAAAACAGGCTCCACTCCCACCCTGTAGGCCCTGTCACTGAGGGCGGAGAGGCAGCTGTTAAAGAAGAACTACTGCCAGGGGTTATGGTTGGGCAAGAGGCGAGGGCTCCGAGAATAATGACCACACTGCAGTCACAGGGTGAGTGGCTCTGTGACTGATAAGATGGCTCGGGGCCCCCCCTGAGCAGAGCTGAGTGCCCTGTGTGGGCTGGGGAGGGCATAAGGGACATCGGAGTCCCACAGCAGCCAAGACTGCTCCTTTCTGCACAGCCACCACTGCCACCCCTTTCACACCAAAGACCAGGCCATGGGGCTGACATGTGACACCGCGGGCTGGGCCACTGCTTGGGATGCCCCCATCTTGCACCAGAGTGCTGGCTTGAGTCCTGGCTACCCCACTTCCAATCCAGCTTCCTGCTAATACACCCTGGGAGGTAGCAGATGGTGGCTTAGGCGCTTGGGTCCCTGCCACCCACATGGGAGACTTAGATGGAGTTCTAGGGTCTGGACTTTGGTTTGGTTCGGCTCTGGTTGTTGTGGGCATTTGGAGACTGAACTAGCGCTGGGAAGACTGATTTCTCTGTCTCTCATTCTGCCATTCAAGTAGATGAAAATAAGTAAGCACTTAAAAAAAAAAAAAAAAGGCCCAGCCCTGTGCCATGCTCCTCCTCCCCCACAGGCCAGGGGACCTGTAACAGCAGCAATGGTAGTCATGGTGACAGCTGTGTTAGTTGTGGGGACTCCGGAGCCGCGTTGCCTTGGCACAAACACAGCTGGGCTGTTTCCTCGCTGTGCGACTTTGAACAAGTGGTTTAGCCTCTCTGTGTGCCCAGTGAACAGGAGCACTCACTAGCATCACGCTAGGTGCTCTGTGCACACTACTGTCCATAAGCCTACCAGGCTGGGGAGCCGCATCATTCCCTCTGCCTCATAGATGGGGAAACGCAGTTCCCAAGGCAACCGTGGCAAGAGCGAGTTGATTAGCCCAGGCCGGCCATCATGTCTTCACGCCATCAGCTCGGGAGTGGGCTCCTTATAAACAGGGAGAGTCCAGCCCCCCTCTGCCTCTCTTGTCCTTCTGCCTTCCACGGTGGGGTGGTGCAGCGAGAAGGCCCTCACTAGAAGCTGGTCCTTGATCTTGAACTTCCCAGAAACCAGAACTGTAAGAAATAATTTTCTGTTCTTTACAAATCCCCCAGCCTCGTGTATACCATGCCTGCAGCCCACAAAGGACCAAGCCAGACACTGAGGCTCTCGGGCAGTGGGTGGCGGACCAAGGCCTTGCAGCGGGTATGGCAGTGGGGGAACTGTGACTGGAGCCTGGGCTGCAGCCCCCTCTCCTGGCCCACCTCTGAGCAGGGTCCATGTGGGCCCACCTGCACCCTGTGCTCAGCGTCCGTCCTCATCCTCTGTAACGATCACTTGGCAGCTGGCACTGACCGAGCGCTTGCCCCAAATACAAATCGGGGAGCCAAGACACGGAGAGAGGCTGGCACGCTCTGACTGGGGCCAACGCTGTGGCCCCTGCACCGTGCCCTCCTCATCCGCCTCCCCCCACCCACAGCCCTCCTTGCCCTTGAGGGCGTTGGTGCTGTCTTCCCAGCTCAGCTACGGGCCCCTTGCGGATTTGCAATGCACAGGGCTCTGCACACTCTGTGTCTGCAGAGCAGCACAGCACCCAGCTAAGAGTGGGGCTCGCCTGCATCTCCGGGTATGTGAACCTGTCTCTATGCAGCCCTCAGGGGAGGAGCTGATCACCCAGCAAGTTGAAAATCCACCGTGTTGGACGGGTCCTTGTCAGAATGGGCCCCTGCCGTGACCCAGGCTCCATGGAAAAAGCAGGGTCTTTGGGTGCAGCTACTGGTTGCTGAGTGTAGACACCCAGGGCACAGCCACGAAGGAGCCCCACTGTCCTGTACATGGGAAGGGACACATCCTCCGCCACTCACAGCTGCACGGCCCTGGGCACAGAGGCTGCTTTGAGCTCCCCACGTGGCACGGCACTCATCACTCACCAGCTCGTACTGAGCACCAGGCTCTGTTCTGGCTGCTGGGGGTGCAGCCACAGGCAAGACTGACAGGGCTCCTGTCCTCTGGGGTGACCTTGCTGCGGGGGCCAGAGGCTGACAGCAAATCAGTAAAGGAGAGGGCACAGAGAGCGGCAGGTGCTGTGAATGACACATGGATAGCGCGGGGGAGGCCTCTGGGAGGAGGTGGCCTCCAGCAGGACTGGCCAGCCCTGGAGGCGGGAGGGGTAAGAGCAGACCAAGAGGAGAGAGCCAAGTCGTGTGTAGGAGCGCTCTGGCTGGGCCTGCAGGTCCTGGTGACGGTCTGATTCCATTAAGAATGCAATGGAATCCTTGGCAGGTTCTTATGGGGGTGGGTGGAGACCATGAGACCGGCACTTGGCTGTGATGGAGAAAACCTGTGGTAGCAACAGTGGCCATGGAGTGAGGTCAGGGACAAAAGCAGTGGTGCAGGGGATGCTGGTCAGTGACTTGGATGCAAGTGGCGATGGCAATGGAGGAAAGATTGGGCCGAGGAGGGCCAGATCCATCCGGAAGGTGGGCGGACAGTGAAGGATGGGGTGGGCAGTGAGAGCCAGGGGCAGGGGGTGGCGCCCAAGTTTGGGCTGAGTGGAGGGTGGGCAGTTTCCTGAGGAAGGATGGGGCGCGGCCCTTCCCTCCTCTCTGCGGGGGCTCCTCCTCCCTGAGACGGGGTAGTCGGTGCCAGCAGAGGGCTGCCAGCTGCTTACAGGCTCCTCCCTCCCCCCACCCCAGGACTGGCTGCCGAGTCATCTGGAAAGACATGGGATGAGGGCGAGGGCTGCTGGTGCTGGGCCAGCAAACTGGGGGCTGCAGAAGATGGGGGTGAGCGAGCCAGGCAGGACCTGGGGACCGAGGCCCGGGTACAGAGGCACAGATGGCTCGGGGGTGGACCAGACAGGAAGTGCCTGCGGGGGATCAGGAGGGATTAGGGCCACAGATCGGATTAGGCTCCCCCGGAAGATGACGGCCCGGTCCATTGCTGCCCATGCAATCACCCCCTCCCTGACACCCAGAGGCATCATGTGTGCGCACACACGGACTCATACCCGCACACCTGTCCACCTGTCCTCAGACACACGGTGCTGCACAGACACCATGGGCACTTGAACACCCAATGTGATGTGGCTGCCCCAGCAGCAGGACAGCCCACAGAAGCCCTCTGTAGTCCTGTACAGCCCCAGTGGTCCCTACACCCGTGACCCACGTATGCATGGCTCACACAGGCCCCACCCACCTCTCTGCAGCCCATAGACCTTCCCAGTTGACCAGCAGCCTGGAGACGCCAGCCAGAGCCTACCCTCCAAGGACGTGGAACACAGCCCTGGTGTGTGTAAGTCCCCACGTCCACTTGTCATACAAACATCTCAGGAGCCAGCACCCTCTCGCCTGTGCTGCCCAGGAGGCAGTGGCTCTTGGATAGCTGGGGGCCCTCCCCTCACACACGTGTGCACAGTGTAACCACACACACAGGCACGCACTCACCTTGCGAGGGGGGGGCCAGCACCAGCGGTGCTGTGGAAGGTGCGGCACCTGGGAAGAGTTCAGGAGTGAACTGTGCTGCGCTTCGGTCTTTGATTTCGCAGAAGCGGTGGTGAGACCCCCTCGGCGTCAGGCACAGTGCTGGTGCCCCAGGGGTGTGGCACTAGGGGCTGCGATCCCACTGACACGTCCTGGAAGCCCCTCCACTGGCCCACATCAGAAACCCCCGTCCCTGGACTGGAGCTGCTCCAGGACCCTGCTTCTTCACACACCCAGCCGACCACTCAGGAAGAGACGGCCCCACCGCGACCTGCTCCCTCCCAGGGTGTAGCTGCTGGTCACACCGGAGCCTGGTCCAGGCAAGGAGTGCCGGCCTCAGTTTCCCCAAGGGCAAGGCAGGATTCAGGTTTAGTCCGAGATAGGAAGGTCCCCTGGAGGGGTGGCTCCCAGTGGCCACCCCGAGCCTCCCAGACTAGGCTGGGTGGGAGCAGTAGTGATCTCGGCCCAGCTTCCTGCAGCCTCCAGGAGCCAGGCACGCCCAGCATTCCAGCTGTCACGGGGCCCAGCTGGCTGCACTGTGGGAGCACCCAGGAGCGAGCCCAGGTGAGGGAAGGCGGGAGGCCAGGCCCCAGGGTGCAGCCCCAAAGACAACAGTCATTAGGCCAGATGCAGAAGGCCAGGGAGGGGTGGAGGAGGTTCCCACAAAGGACAGGAGGGTGGGGCCCTGCCGAGGCCTGAGCTGGGGTGGCCTGGCCCTCTTCCCTTCTCCCTCGGCTCCTGTCCTCCCCAGCCTGTCCCCCTTCTCCATCCTCAGGAAGCCCCCTGCCCCAGCCAGAGGAGACCACAGGGGTCGGGGAGGACTGAGCCGTCACTTGAAACAGGGACGCCCTGGCCCAGCCTCAGTGGGGCACCCCCCCGGGACGTCAGCCTCCTCTGGGGACTCGAAGCCTGGCCCACGCCGAGCCAGTGCAGAGCTACCTCTCCCTGCCCAGAGAGCCCGCGTGATGGCTGCGCAGAGCCTGGTGAGAACTCACCACAGCCCTTTCGCACCCTGCACCCCAGCTCCCATGCCTCTGCCGTGACACCCTCTGTGTGCCCTCACCCCACTGATTTCTCCTGCTCGGCTGTCTCTCCAGTGGGGGCCATGCCCCAGCGACCATTGCCCCGGGGGCAGCCTGCAGGCGGATCCCACCAACCCCACAGCTCTGGGCGGCCACGTGTCCCCTCAGCCTGAGCCTGAGTGCAAAGGACACGAGAAAGCTCACAGGACCAGAGACCAAGGCTGAAGGTGGCCCTGCTGCCCCCTACCCCCCAGCCTCCACCCCAAGAGAAAGATCCCAGGGCTGGGAAGTTCTTCCATTTCCTCCGGGACAGAAGCCCTTCTCGGAGGCAGGGGAATGGCCAGCATGACCTCTATGCAGCTCCTCCAGCACAGGGTGCTCGCCGGGTAGGACGAGGTTTTCCGTGGCCTCCCCATGTGGCAGAATTTCACTTCCTGCCCTCTGTACCACCCACCAGGCCCCTGTGACTCCAGCCTACATCAGGCCCAGCTAGGGGCCCCCTAGAAGCTTCCAATTCCCCCCAGATCCTGGAGGCCCGGTGGCCCCAACAAGAAGTGTGGGGCCTGGGGGCCGGCGCCGTGGCTCACTTGGTTGGTCCTCCGCCTGCCCTGCCGGCATCCCATATGGGCACCGGTTCTAGTCCCGGCTGCTCCTCTTCCAGTCCAGCTCTCTGCTGTGGCCTGGGAGGGCAGTGGAAGATGGCCCAGGTCCTTGGGCCCTGCACCGCATGGGAGACCAGGAGGAAGCACCTGGCTCCTGGCTTCGGATCGGGTAGCTCCGGCCGTGGCGGCCATTTGGGGGGTGAACCAACGGAGGGAGGACCTTTCTCTCTGTCTGTCTCTCTCACTGTCTAACTCTATCTGTCAAATAAAAGAAAAAAAAGTGTGGGGCCTGGCTGCAGCTGCCTGGGCTTAAGCCCAAGTGTTTTCTCTGCTCCTTTCCAACAGGTAACTAACTGGCTACTGGCCTCATACAAGCTGAAAACAAGAACCACCCAGGGGGCCGGCGTGTGGCATAGCAGGTAAAGCCATCACCTGCAGTGCCCAGTGCACATGTCCAGCAGCCTAGAAGCCTTGGGTGGAGGCCGCATTGGCACCTTGCAGGGGGCTGGTAGAAGCGTCACAGCCTGGGGCCAGCCAGGGCCCAGCTCCCTGGGAGGAAGGGACCTCAGCCCAGCCTACAGAGGGAAACAGAAACTGCTCACGCCCCACCGCGGGCGCCTTCCCTTCCCAGCACGGCAGGCCCGGGGGGCCCCTGCGCCGGCTACGCGCCATGAGTCACGGCCGCCCCGCCTCGGCCTCCTTGCCTGAGAAGCGGCCGGAGCCACACTGCCTTGCCCGGCTGTGAGGGGAAGCAAGCGAGCCAGCCTCCGGGAAGGCATTTTGGAAACTGTGAGGGGCCGGCCACGTGTAAAGAGCCCAGGTCACGGAGGAACAAGACCCACCCGTGCAGGGAGGTGAGCAGCCACCACCCACGTGGAGCCCCAGCCCACTCCCTCCCCAGGCACCGGGCCGCCCTGGGGCATTCTGCATCAGGAGCCCACTCCTCTCCCAGCCGAGGGCCAGCTTCACCTTCGGGGCTCTCCCTTCCTTGATGTCCCTCTGTCCCTGGCCCTGGGATTCCCCCCAACACTGGCTCATGGGGTGGCCACCTTCCTTCCGGGGAGCACCCACTCACAGGCCCCGCCTCTCGGCCCAGCTACACTTCCCTTCCTTGTCACCTTCTCCTGCCCTGCTAACAGAGCCCTGCTTTCCACAACCAAAGGCCCCTGCCGTGAGCCCAGGCCCGGAAGTGGCTGGGATCAGAAAGAAATGTTCTGGTTGCCTGTACCCCGGCGGGGTCGGGGTGGGGGGTGGTCTCTCAGGGCTCAGGCGCAGCATACGCTCCATCAGGGCTTGCAGAGCAGGGCGGCGTGGGGGCACCGGGGTGGGGGGCGTTCAGGGGTCAGCCACTCCACCTGGCGTGCCCCAGCACACCTGGCACTGCTCCAGGTTCCCAGGAGGCTGCCAGGCCCAGAGATGAAGGCCCATGGAGACTGCATTAGGATGGCACAGGATGGCTGTGAAGGATGGGTCACGCCCCTCTGTGCCTGGCTCCACCCACTTCGAGCCCGCCCCTCCAGCAGATTTGTCTGGCATCCACCCAGAAGCCACCCCAGGGGTAGCGCATACCATAGAGAGGGCCACAGGCTGCAGGGTCCTCTGTCTGAGGAGCAAGCCTCAGGCGTCAGGCTCCGGGGACGCCACGGCTGCTCTGGTCCCTTGCACACTCATCTCGCTCTCTGCTCTGTGTGGACACAGCCTCCCAGGTTCCCGCACCCTGGGCTTCCTGAGGGGTCAGCCAGGAGCCAGCAGCAGGCGGAGAGAGGGGAGAACCTCGGGTACCTCTGCCCCAGCTCCCCCACCCCACCCCGCGCCGTGACCTCAAGGTCTGGGCCAAGGCCAGGTGCCTGTGGGACTCCAGGGCTCTGAGGGTGCCCTCCCCTCTCCTTGTCCCCCCAGCTAAGTGTGGCAGTGGCTGTGTGGGCGAGGGCAGAAGTTGCACCCCTCGGGGAGTGGAGCCCAACACCCCACACGTTGTCAGCACCGGCCCTGCAGCAGCTACTGAGTTTCTGAGGGCGATACCCGGCCCTTTCTGTGGCGTCCCTTCTCTCCTGCCACGAATCCCAGGGCCCTTAAAGGCTCACAGAAAACGCAACAGTACGGGGAAGCTGTGCATGGGCTTCCAAAACTGTTTGCATCAACATAAACTCCTCTCACAACTGCGTTTTCCCACAGACTCGGAAGTGCCCTGCTGAGCCTGACTTACTCAACAGCAGCTGTGTTCCTTGGTGGTCTCGGGCTGGAAACGGCTGACGGCCCCTCCTCGATCCCCCTGTAGTGGCTAGAAGGAACTTTAAAAAATATATTTATTGATTTATTTATTTCAAAGGCAGAACATCAGAGAGGGGGAGAGAGAGAGAGAGAGAGAATGTCCTAACGCTGGTTCACTCCCCAAATGGCCCCCAGTGACCAGAGCTGGGCCAGGCTGAAGCCAGGAGCCTAGAACTCCATTCATGTGGGTGCAGGGGCCCAAGCACTTGGGCCATCCTCTGCTGCTTTCTCAAGCGCATTAGCAGGGAGCTGGATCAGAAGCGGAACCGCCAGGACTGGAACCAGATGCGGCGTCACAGGCAGCAGTTTAACCCGCTGCACCACAACGCTGGCTCCTGGAGTGCATGTCCTAAACTATAGGATTGCCCACGCCACACCACAGCACACCCTATTTGAAACTCTTCACCAGCACCCAGGTGTACAAGCAGGAATTTAATCTGGCTGACAGAACAGAGGTTCAGGGTTCAGTGGGCGTGCAGGAGCTCAGAACTGGCACGGAGGCCCCCATCTTCAAAGCACCCAGGAATCCCACTCCTTCCATCCTGTAGCTCCGCTGTTTATAGTCTCCATTTCCAGGGTGGCTGCTCCAGCTCCCCCTTTCACATCAACATTCCAATCAGCAGAAAGCTGGAAGGAGGGCACTTCCGGAAAGTAGCACCATCGTTTTTGTGCCAGCCAGAACACGTCACCCAGCCACACCTGACCGTCACCCTGGGCAGCTTCGTGCCCGGCTGAAATTCCACAGTCTGTACCACAGCAAGCAAGCGTGTCAAAAATCTGATGCCATCTGACACTCAGGCAAGGTAATGGGAAGGCGGAATTCTGGGAACACTGGAAACAGAAAGACAGAACCCATCTCTACGGCAGCGAGTATCTGAGCCGCAACAAGGCAAGCAAGCCACACACACACGCACACACGCGCGCACACACGCGCACACACGTGCGCACCGGGGACAGCGGCTGTGCTTTATTGAGGGCGTGCTAGCCTTCCCTGAGAGCAAGAAAGAGCCGCAGGAGGAAGGAAGAAACCGTCCTTACGTGCACAACATGAGCCTGCCTGCCCGGAATCTGCAGATGCATCCCAACCCAATCACACACAGAGCTTTTACTTAACTTATTTGAGAGTCAGAGAGAGAGAGAGGCCTCAATATAGGCAGCTGGGAACTCAGCCTAGCCCTCTCGTGTGGGTGGCAAGGACCCAAACACTCGAGCCTTCATCACCTGCTGTCTCTCAGGGTGCACGCTGGCGGGAATGGGACCCCATCCCAGGCACTCTGATTACAGGGTGAGTGGAGGCATCCCCACTGATGTCTTAACCCAGTACACCAAACATCTACCACTGCAAGACTTTTTAATGGGCCCTGACAAGCTGGGGCCCTCCACAAAACAAGTGAAGATGCACTTTTAAATTAAGAGCAAAGATGGGGATTGGACAGCACTGTGGCGTAGCCGGTGAAGGCGCTGCCTGCAGTATCGGCATCCCATATGGGCACCAGTTCAAGTTCTGGCTGCTCCTCTTCCAATCCAGCTCTCTGCTATGGCCTGGGAAAGCAGTAGAAGATGGCCCAAGCGCTTGGGTCCCTGCACCCGCATGGGACACCTGGAGGAAGCTCCAGGCTTCGGATCCGCCCAGGCCCAGCATTGCAGCCAACTAGCGGATGGAGGCTCTCGCTCTCTCTGCCTCTGTCTTTCTGTAATCTGCCTTTCAAATAAATCTTAAAAAAAAAAAAAAGAACGTTTAGCCCAGCAGTTAAATGCTGGTTGAGACGTCTGCATTCCGGATCAAGAGTACCTGGGTTTCATACCCAGCCCCAGCCCCTGACTCCAGCTTCCTGTTAACACAGACCCTGGGAGGCAGCAGGAATGGCCCACATGATTGGGCTTCCATCACCACCTGGGAGACCTGGGTCGAGGTCTTGGGTCCCTGAAGGCATCTGGGAGTAAACCAGGGGGTGGGGTCTCTCTCTCTCTCTCTTTTTTTTTTCTTTTATTTTTTTGACAGGCAGAGTGAACAGTGAGAGAGAGAGAGACAGAGAGAAAGGTCTTCCTTTGCCATTGGTTCACCCTCCAATGGCTGCCGCGACCGGCATGCTACGGCCGGCGCACCGCGCTGATCCGAACGCAGGAGCCAGGTGCTTCTCCTGGTCTCCCATGGGGTGCAGGGCCCAAGCACTTGGGCCATCCTCCACTGCACTCCCTGGCCACAGCAGAGAGCTGGCCTGGAAGAGGGGCAACCGGGACAGAATCCGGTGCCCCGACCGGGACTAGAACCCGGTGTGCCGGTGCCGCTAGGTGGAGCATTAGCCTAGTGAGCCGCGGCACTGGCCTCTCTTTCTCTCTCTCTCTCTCTCTCTCTCTCTCTCTCTCCATCTTTCTCTCTGCCTCTCAAATAAATAAATATTTATAAAAGAAAAGAACAACGAAGACGGGGCTGGCGTGGGGCTTGGAGGATTAAGGACTTGGTATAAAAACAGATGATGAGAGTGAAGTCATTTTAGCAGGGTGGTTCCAGCATGGAAATAGAAAAACGGATTCTTGGAACCAGTCCATAAGTCCAACCACACAGTTAGGGAGAGGAGCAGCATTTCAGGCGCCCACGGAGCAGTCGCGGGCTTTTGCCATCCACGGCAGTAGCACAACTTATGTCTGAGCCATATTTTATATCACTTACAGAAGCACTCTTCATGCGGATTGAATCACTTGAAAAAAGACCAAACCTCACGAGGACAGGGAGAATGTAAGCTATAAGTCGCCGATGGCTTGGGGGCAGAGAAGGCATTCCTCGGGCACAGCACAAAACACTGAAGTCACGTGGGGAAAGAACTGAGACACCCGACCTTCTGTCAACGACAAGTGCCCGTCCGGTCAAGCTGGCCTTGAGCAGAGGGACAGAGCGAGCACCGGATGTGGAGGAAGTGCCCAAAACACAGAAGATTTTAGAAACGAGCGGGAGGGCCAAGGAGTGCCTGCTGCATGCCCGGCACAGGTGCTGCGAAGCTTGGCAGGAAGCCACAACACGCCTCCTGCTGTCCTGCCTCTGACACGGTAGTAGGGCGGGGGAGCCGGCAGTGAGGAGGTAGACATGCGTGTGTCACGGGGCGGTTACGGAGGAAGATCAAACACGCAGGGAGCCAACACTGTGGAGAAGAGGAACGGTGTGAGGCCATCCAGACCCCAGAGAGAAAAAGCTACGCACGACAGAAAAACGGGCAAGGACGTACAACACAGACTCGCTGGCCACGGCACGCAGCAGCCCTGGGCCGGCCACGAAAGCTGTGTGATGGGGCGAGTGGCAGGTGTTCCGGTGGGCGCTGGCAAGGGCAGACACACGAGGAATCTCACGCCCTTTTGTTGGGAGTGTAAATTGGTATTTTTAAAAAAAGATATTTATGGGCCGGTGCCGCGGCTCACTAGGCTAATCCTCCACCTGCAGCGCCAGCACCCCGGGTTCTAGTCCCAGTTGGGGTGCCGGATTCTGTCCCGGTTGCCCCTCTTCCAGGCCAGCTCTCTGCTGTGGCCCCAGAGTGCAGTGGAGGATGGCCCAGGTCCTTGGGCCCTGCACCTGCATGGGAGACCAGGAGAAGCACCTGGCTCCTGGCTTCAGATCAGCGCAGCACACTTGGGGTGTGAACCAACGGAAAAAGGAAGACCTTTCTCTCTGTCTCTCTCTCTCTCTCTCTCTCACTGTCTAACTCTGCCTGTCAAAAAAAGAAAAAAAAAAGATATTTATTGAAAAAGCACAGCCATGGAGAAAGGGAAAGACAGAGAGAGAGAGAGCCAGATCTTCCATCTGCCGGTTCACTCCCCACATGGCCACAACCGTAAATACCAACAGCAGGCCCAGGGAGGTGACTCAGGACAGGTGGGCAGAGAAGCCACCAGCAGACCTCTCGGCGCCTCTTGGAGGAGGATTCCACTGGGAGTGACTTCTTCCACCCCTCACCTGCCATCCTCCTAGACTCCCATTGGGCCTCACTGCCTCCAGGAAGCCTTCCAGGATCTGCAGGCTGGAGCAAGGGCCTCTCCCGGGACCTCCCAGAGCTCCCGCTAACCCTGTGCCATTCACGGGCCTCCGCACAGCCATCCCTACCCCGACAACTGGGCCTCCTAGAAGTCAGGGAGTAGGCCTTGCAGGGGAGGGGATGGACCAGCCGACTCAAGCAGGCTGTCTAACGTGAGTGTTGGATGGACAGCCAGCCAGTGAGCTAATGGCTGTGTTCCTCCTTCATCTGGGGGTGAGCCCTTGGGGGAGCCAGGGGCCCTCGTGAAGATCCAAGGTGCCTGTCTCAGAAGTCAACATCCTGTCCTCTGCCACCCACCGCCGCCCACAGCCCAGGGGTCAGAGTGCGTGATGGCCTGGCGGGGAGCCGGCAGGGCTGGGGGCGGTCTGGTTGTGAGCAGGATGTGACAACTCCCACGCAGCCCAGGGTCTTTTTCCGCTGCTCAGAACACGCCGCACCAGGTGGCCGCCTCCGCCGGGAGCCACCTTGCTTCTCACGGCCTCCTCTCACATCCTGTTTCCACTGCCTGACACCGCCGGGGGGCCCCAAGCCCTGGGCGCCCGCCCCTACCTGCTGGGTTTTCACAAGGCCTTTCCTGGGTTGCTCTGGGGGCACACACGCCTCTTATTTTTAGCTCTTTGGTGGTTGAATGAGTTTACACCCAAGTCTGCTCTCCTGAAGGGCAAGGAGGCTGCCTACTGTGTGGTCCCCGGGGCTCCGCCTCAGCCTGGGGAGAAGGAACAAGGCCCAGGTCGGGGTCAGTGTGGGGAGCCTGCTGGCACCTGCTTCTGTCACCACCATCGCGTGAGCTCAGGCAAGCCCAGGTCGCTGAGCCCATCTCGGCCACCAAGGGCTTAACCGGAAGGGGCTGCCACTGCGGCACGAGCCAGAAATCAGGACGCCCCAGGATGGGCCAGAGAGGCCCTGAGGTTCCCCAGTCAGGGTGAGAGACCCCCCACAGGACAGGAGCCTCGTCCCCCACCCCCTCTTATTCTCTTGGCTCAGGACAGCTGCTTTCCCGGATTGTCCCAGAGACCCGTCCACTCCAAAGGGAGTATGGGACAAGCAGCAGAGGGACAGTGAAGGGCCCAGGATGGCACAGCCTCGCCCACTGCTCGCGTCCTTTCCTGGGTGAGCCCTCGGCGGTGCACTCAGCACAAGGGCAGGATGGGAAGTCGCGGCCTGCTGCATGCCGGGAGGTGGCCCCGGCCCTGCATGGGATACCCCTACCCCCCTCAGGCGGCCCCCCAGGGCCCTACATGCTCCCCCTGCGTCAGCGTGCCCCAGGGCAGGGCAGTGTGTGGGGGGGCACAGCAACACACACCCGGTGGAGGGCTTGCCTGGGGGTTGCTGGTCTCCAGATCCCAGGTCTGCCTCGTGCGCTGAGGCCAGCCCTCCTCAGAACCCTGCACTCGGGTGCCACTTCCGGGCTGAGGCACCGAAAAAGCCCCGTATGCTTGTCCTAGCTCTCGCCCCCTGCTGTGCTATGATTTAGTCATTTATTTGAGAGGCAGAGTTACAGAAAGGGGGAGAGAGAGAGGGGGGGGGTCTTCCAACTGCTGGTTCACTCCCCAAATGGCTGCAATAGCTGGAACTGACCCGATCAAAGCCAGGAGCCAGAAACTTCTTCCGGGTCTCCCGTGTGGGTGCAGGGGCCCAAGAACTAGAACATCTTCTACTGCTTTCTCAGGTGCATTAGCAGGGAGCTGCATCAGAAGTGGAGCAGTCGGGACTCAAACCCATATGGGATACCAGCACCACAGCTGGTGGCTTTACCCACTATGCCACAGCGCCAGCCCCCAAAAGATTTGTTTCTATATTTATTTGAAAAGCAGAGTGATGCCCACAAGAGCCAGGCTGAAGCTATGAGCCAGCAGTTCTATCTGGGTCTCCCATATGTGTCCAGGAACCCAAGTACTTGGGCCGTCATCTGCTGCCTCCCAGATGCGTTAGCAGAAAACTGGATCAGAAGTGCAGAGTAACAGGGGCTCCGATACGGTGCAAGGTGTCCTGAGCTGTGGCTTCATCTTCTGTACCCCAATGCCCACCCTCACCCATACCTAAGAATGGAATGGCTAAGTCACAGAGTAGGAGTATGTTCAAATATTTTTAAATACCCCTGCTATTCCTTGGTTAATTTTATTTATTTTTTAATTATTTGAAAGGCAGAAAGACAAAGAGACAGATAGACAGACAAAGAGAGTTCCCAACCAGTGGTTCACTCCCCAAATACCTGAAACAATCAGGTCTGAACTGGGCTGCAGCTGGGAACGGGGCTGAGCCTCGAGGGGGAAGTCAGTGCCAGCGTCCCAGGCACATTAGCAGGGAGCGGGATTGGAAGCGCAGTAGATGGGACATCACAAGTGGTGACGTAACCCACTGCCGCACCATGCCAGCCCCAAAGGGAAAAAGATTTGAAGAATTCCAGTGTATCCATTTTTTAATTTTTATGTTTCAGGCTTTTTGTGGTCTAGGAAAACTTTGTCTAATTCAAGGCTGTACGTAATCTCTCCTGATACACTTTATAGTTTTGGATGTTTACATATGCAATCTGTCCCAGTGGATTTTGTATGTGGTGTAAGGTAAGGGTCCGGACTGGCATTAGGATGTTTTCAATGATGCTTTGTTCCCTTTATTACGGATGTTCACGCTGTGTCTCGTGTAAGACATGAGAGTGCCATCACTTTCTCCCCACCCCTTCACCCTATCCCCTCCACTTTACAGGAAAGTTTTGTTTTTGTTTTGATTTTGGTTTTGGTTTTGGTTTGGTTTGGTTCTCTGTAAAAACACAGAAAGGTTGTGTTAATGCGGAGGTGGCCAGCGTACCTTTTTGGATTCAGTATTGCCACATTGTTTTCCTCCATCTTAACCAACACTTGGTATAGTCTGGTTTTTACTTACTTATTTTTGAAATATTTCTTTTTTTAAAAGAATTATTTATTTGAAAGCCAGAGGTACACAGAGAGAGAAGGAGAGGCAGAGAGAGAGAGAGGTCTTCCCTTCTGCTGGTTCACTCCCCAAATGACCACAACAGCCAGAGCTGAGCTGATCCGAAGCCAGGAGCCAGGACCTTCTTCCAGGGGCGGGGGTGGGAGCGGGGCAGGGGCCCAAGGACTCGGGCCATCTTCTGCTTTCCCAGGCCACAGCAGAGAGCTGGATCAGAAGACAAGCAGCCAGGACTCGAACCGGTGCCCATATGGGATGCCGGCGCTGCAGGCTGGAGCTTTAACCCACTGCACCACAGTGCCGGCCCCTGAAATATTTCTTAAAGATTTATTTATTCTTTATTTGAAAGAAAGAGTTACAGAGATGGTGGGGAGAGGGAGACAGAGACAGAGAGAAAAAATGATCTTCCAACTACCACTTCACTCTGTAAATAGCTGCAACAGCCAGGACTGGGCCAGGCCAAAGCCAGGAGCCTGGAGCTCCATCCGGGCCTCCCTTATGGGTGGCAGAGGCCCACGTATTCAGGTCATCATCTACCGCTTTCCCAGGAATGAGCCGGGAGCTGGATTGGAAATGGAGCTACCAGGACACAAACCAGCACTCACGTGGGACGCCGGCATTGCAGGCAGAGGCTTAACCCACTGTGCCACACCACCAGCCCTTGGAATATTTATTTTCCACGTATTATTCTTATTTTTAAAATGTACATACTTCTTTGGCAAAAATAGAGAAAGAGAGACAGAGACAGATCTCCCATTCGCTGGTCCACTTCCCAAAAGCCCTCAACAGTTGGGGCTACCCCAGGCTGGAGCCAGAAGCTGCGAACTCCAGGTCTCACATGTGCAGGAGAGGGACCCAAACACTGGAGCCACCAGCTGCTGCCTGCCGGCATGCCCGTCCGCAGGAAGCTGGCATGCAGAACGGAGCTGAGATGCAAGCCCGGTACTCTGATAAGGCACGCAGATGTCTAACTGCTAAGTCAACCGTCTTTCTCTATTTTTAATTTTATTTCTCTATTTCGGAGGCCAATCTGGATGGCGTAAAGTGATAGCTCACGCATTTAATCCGATCTCTGTAGTTACCATGGAATTTAATAATCTCTTCACATACCTGTTAACCATCTTAATTTTTCTTACAGGAGGTGCTCAATATGGACATCCACTTTTCTGTTGCTATTTCTACAACTCCTCGAGTTTTCTTATGCACTTGCAATGATTCCTTGCATATACCAAAACAGAATTCCTTAATAGTTCCTTTTACTTATATTGAAAGTACACAGAATTTTGCCAGTTTCAGACATTATAAACATCTTTGGCATTGTGGCACAGAGACTAAGGCTGTGCCTCCAACACCGACATCCCATATGGGCGCCGGTTCATATCCCAGCTGCTCCATTTCCAAGCTAGCTCCCTGCTATGGCCTGGGGAAAACAGTGGAAGATGGTCCAATGCCGGTTCAAGTCCTGGCTGCTCCACTTCCAATCCAGCTCCCTGCTAATGCGCCTGGGAAAGCAGCAGAAGATGGCCCAAGTCCTTGGGTCTCTTCCCCAATGTGGGAGACCCGGAAGAAGCTCCAGGCTCCTGGCGTCAGCCTAGTCCAGTCCTGACTGTTGTGGTCGTTTGGGAGTGAACCAGCAGAAGGAAGATCTCAATCTTCT